TTCTTGTTGTTTTTGTTGTTGTTTTGAGACAGGGTGTCACTGACCTCAAATTTGTGATCCCCTTGCCTCAGCTCTCCAAATGCTGAGATTACAATTGTGAATCACCACTCTTGGCCAAGTATGTCTTAAACTTTTAAAATAATAATATTAAATTTTACAGCACATTTCCACTTTTCAAATAACTCCTTCTGAAACTGTTTAAATTCTTAAAAGATCACTGTGTAATTGGTAAGGTGTTTACTGCTCTCACACCCACTTACAGATAAGACATTAAATCTGAGGTCAAACTTAATGGTAAGGACAGTCTGAAACCCAGTTTTTGTAAACCTGAGATAACTGGTCCTGGGGTTACTTTACAGAGTTCATTGCTGTACTCCTTGCTTTGATTTGGGGGTTTTGACATTTGTTTTTGTTTTTTTTTTCAATAAAAACTCAAACATAAATTTATGGCAAGTATCTTCTCCCACCATTAGTAGTATTTCACAATCGAAAATCATGAAAAGACTGCATAGGAGGCCTAGATCTCAGGACTGAGAACTTCCTGGAGGGATGAGAGGCCACTGCAATACCTAAAAGCTGAGAGTGAGGCCTGGCTTCTGCTAGAACCCTGGTACCCTCTTTCTACCAGGATCTTAGCAGCTCCCCAGTACCTGAGATGGGACCCAGGGACAGCACGGGTTCCCACTTGGCACCGCATGACTGCAGAGTGAATAAATGATTGTGCAGAACTCAGGCACCTGTGATGAAATCCACCTCTGACTCTGTCAGCTCAACCCCTTCCCCTTCCTCTCCCCCATCTTCCCTCATCTCGCGGCACCCGCTTCCCCCCTGTCCATGTGACAATGGAAGTGTGTGCTGCCTTGTATGGTTGGTCTGTAGACTGACGCCTTTCCTTGCATACTGGCGTTGTTCCTTGAGATTAGCTAAGGCCAAAGCTATTACATTTCTATTTCTCTTGAAGGACACTGTAAATTGTTTGAGCTTCTTCTACTTCGGCTATATTAAACAAAGTTAAAAGACCTGTGTCTCCTTCCTTGCTCATTCTGGATGGCATCTGAATTGCACTTGTGAAACCAGAGTGGCCAAAAAGTCGGGGTGGGGGTCAGAAGTTACACATCCATGTTTGAGCTGAACTGATGAAGAAAAAAGTCCCGGATAAAACAGATCGCCCAAACATAGAAGAATTAAGAATGAGGAGAACCAATGAGGGTATAAATTGCTTTCAAATTCATCTCAGTGAGGTTATCACTAAAACAAAGTTTTGGAAGAATCTGCTAATAGACCCAATAGAAAAGAAAATGGCAACAAGTTTCTGCATGGTAAAAAGATAGTCTCCAGAATACTAGAAATGTTTAAGTGGATGATTTCTGTTTAAAAATGACATACGATAGATATAATAATTTATAACAGAGCACCCAGAGTCTGCATAATATTCTCACAACCCTCAGAATATAAAGAGTTCTAACAGTTCAATTTAATTCAGGGATTAAAGCAATTATGCATTTTGTACATATCACTGTATATTTGCTATTGGGTTATCAATTTCTTTCCTTCATATAAACTGCAAACATACAGCAAAGTTTTTAAAGTCAGATTCAAATCTCTTTGGATCAAGCTCTTTCCTCCTTCCCATTCCCCCCTCCCCGCAATGTGTGTACATGTGTGAATGCACACGTTTGGCTAGGTAGATGCCTGCGAATATGAAGGTCAGATATCCACATCAGGATTCTTCCTCTATCCCTTCTTGTTGTTGTTGTTTCTTTGAGACAGGCTTTCCCACTGGAACTAGAGCTCATCTCATTGAACAGACTGATTAGCCAGCAGCATTTGAAGCCAGCCTGCCTCTGCCCAAGCCCGGCACTGGGGTTTCAGATTCTTGCCGCTATTAGCCAACTTTACAAGATCGGTGGCGATTCCTGCATCCTCATGTTGACCCACCTATCCCCTGAGCCACTCTCCCCAGTCCTAGAGCGGGCTGGTCTGGCTTTGAGAGTTCACACTACACAAAAAGAGAACTCTTGTTTCCCTTTCACTGGCATGGTAGACTGACTCCCAACAAGAGTACATGAACACTTCCTGACAGCAGCGCATTAATTACTGATAGTAACATTTGTGAGAATTCTCTGATAAACGAGGCTTTGCTTCACAAGTCTAGCGAGTACAGGACGCCCCAACTTTTTTCCCAAGCCCAGTGGCTCAGACTTCGGACTTCCATTAGACCCCAAGGGGTTCACTGAGTGATGGAAATTACAGCTTCATAGGCATGCTCTACTAGAAAGACATCTCAGCCTGAGATTAGCTACAAAATGCGACAAAACCACCTTCCCGAGAAACGGTGTAGCTGCGAGCTTGTGGGCCATCAGTGCAAATGGCTCATCCTGCTCTAGTGGGCTGCTGTTAAGCCAAAAATCTCCTGAGCCAAGCTCTCTCGCAAGATTTCCTGTACTTCCTGTCTCCATGTGAGCCAGAAATACCCTGAGAACGACCTTTCTTGTGGTAATTCTTGCACTTCTGCTCTGGGATGAGGATAATCCCATATTGGGGAGAAATTTTTAAGTTGTGAAAACATTTTCGACACTCGGACATTCACATGAAGTAGTTCCCTTTTGGGATGATAATTGGAAATGATGCTTGTTTGGCCCTAACTCATCTCCTATAGGAAACATTCATATCCAACAGTCCAACATTTTGTAACTTCTCTGGAATATTTTTATAAGGAAATGCTCAGAATAATCTAAGAGAAATGTATATTCTGACATTTTTTATAAAGAAAGTGATCTTCAAGAAACATGCATGGAAGAGCTGTGTTTTTAATACATTAGCATCTGTGATATATCATATCATATATTTGTTTTTCTTTGTTCTTAACCCCTTTGTTTTAAGGGTCAGGATATCCTGATGCTAAGGACTCTTGCAAAATAACCGAACAAAAATAAAAATAGTCAAACACTTAGGAAACCCTTCAGTTGCTAAGTCGGGGAAGTTTGTGACTGAGGAGCGACTTGAAGACATTATTCAGGAAGTATGGTGTGGAGTGCAGCAGTCTGGATATTAAATAGAACCCTCTGATTCCAGAAATCTTCCATGCCCCCAGTCTAATGGGAGGGTGAGGTAAGAATCGGAAGGGTTGTCAAACTAGGTGGATGAGTCCAGTTGCTATAGAAATCTTTTTTATCTCAACAGAACAGATTAAAGAGAGAAATCTTGATGATAAATGGGTCATGGGTTTTTACTCATTGGGTTCTATGAACATGTAGTTGTTTTAGAAAAATTGCAATATTTTAATAATGAAATTCTCAGAGAAGCACTGTCCCAAATATATATTATACATATGTATACACACACACACACACACACACACACACACACACACACACACACAGGGTTTTAGGCCTCTTTTCATCTGCCAGGAAAGAAAACTGGTTTACAGTATACTTTTTCATCTAGAAGAAAAGGGGGGGATCACTTAATTCATTATGAAAAAAACAGACTTATTAACCGTAGTTTTAGAAGAAGAAGAATGACATGATTACAGTGAGCTTTACCGCTTTCAACTTCAAAAACAGAATGAAGTGGGAGCAACGGACTTTCTCCTCTTCCCCCAATTCTCCTCCATGCTCCCCCAAAGAAACATCAAATGATTGTGTGATCAACCAGCCGTAGGAATGTAGTGCGGGAGCAACAGCTTGTACATCAGCAAAATGAAGTGCCAAGCAAAACAGAGGCCTTTGCAAGGCAGAGACACCGAGCTCCAAGGAAGACAGGATTGTTACAATGTCTTTCAAGAAAACAGGGGCTTTCTGTGTGAATGTGCAAGTTCAAATTGTTCCTACAAACCCAATTTGCTGGCAAAAATGCCAAGCATAATGCCACCCCACTTTCGTTTATGTCCAGAGCCTTTCACATAAGCGACAGGGGGTATCTCTGTTGCAGCTTTGGCTCTGACTCTCAGGGTCAGCCCCTTCATCTCTGAGCCTCAGGAAGCAAGAGGCTTGGCCCACGGTTGTCCTCAATTCACCACTCTGGGGTGGGGACACAGTAGTCAGTGGCCCAGATATTAAGCCCACAGTGTGGTCTCTCTGAAAAAAAAAAAAGAATCATCCATACTTGCTTTTCCAGGCCATTTATGACCCCCTACCAACACCCTTTAAAATGATGACTACCCTTTGAAAATGGGTTTTTAACCATCCCGAGCCACGTGTCCAGGCTAAACAGGCACCCTGTGCATATGCATAAGGACCTTGACACTTCCCTAATCCACTTTTTTCCAGTTAGCTTTGGAATGTGATTCAATGTTGTTTCCTTCCAGCTGAAGGGCAGCTGAGGTTACAAGGGGATTTGACTAATAGACCAAAAAAACCCGGACAGTTTGCAGAGATCTTTGACAGCAAAGTGGGTGGGGTGTAGAAGAAGGAAGAAGAGAGTTTGAACTGCGGTCCTTAAGATCAAACCGCCCCCCATCCCATGCAGGCACAGTGGACAGACAAGGCAGGCCCCCCGCCGGGCCCTCCAGAGAGAAGCAGCTACAGAGGAGTTCTGGCAGAATGCAGCTTCCCGTTTTGCTGAAAGCTCCTTGGGATTTACAGAACTTGTGTCTGGGAAGCTTCTAGGCTTCCTGTGCCATAGGAGTTAACCCCTCACCTGGCACTTCCAGTAACTAGCCTGTGAGGGGCCCCGCTCAGAGAGTCATGCAATACGGAGCCCCGAGTCTTTGCCTGAAGTCTTTCGTGGCTAAGCCACTTGACAAACTTGACAAGCAGCAAGAAAGCTCATAGGAAACAAACGAAACGGGAGGAAGAAGAGGGAAGGCGAAGGCTGAAGCCTCGATGGCTTTTTTTTTTTCCTCCCCGCTGTCGTTCCAGCTGTAGCCTGGGATTAATTAAGTGCTGTGAATTCAGTGCCTGAGAGAAAAAGAAAATGCACTGTATCTCTAAGGAAGGAAGGAGTCCAGAGACGGTTTCTCAGCAGTGAGGAACCTTAGGTTGTGCATTGGTCTCATCTCGTCGCCAGTGTTTTGTGCAGGGGCTGGGAAAGCCAGAGAGGCTGTGCCAGGCTGGAGGAGACTTGTCTTTCCAAGGCTGGAGAGGATTTCACGCGGGTTTGCCTGCAGCTGCCCGGGAAGAAATTCCCCTCTGGTGGCAGCAGCCGCAGCAGCAGCGGCGGCGGCGGCGGCGGCAGCGGCGGCGGCAGTAGCAGCGACGGCGGCAGCCCTACCTCCTGTTCTGGGGAACAGGGCAGAATGCCTGTGCTAGAGCGGTACTTCCACTCCGCAGAACTAGGCAGGAGGTGGACGGCCCCAGAAGGTGTGCTGCCCTCCGCCCTAGGCAGCAGGCCGGGGTGCCAGCAGGGGCCGCTACCCTGGGACTTGCCAGAGATGATCAGGATGGTAAAGCTGGTTTGGAAGTCCAAAAGTGAGCTGCAGGCAACCAAGCCGAGAGGCATTCTGGAAAATGAAGACGCTTTGCACAGCTTCCCAGGTAAACGGATGGTGGGGTGCAGAAGGTGACCTAGTCAGGTCTCATCGCTCTAGATCCCCTTCTTGGGTCAAGGAAGGAAGGCAAGTTGTGCGGACAGGGTTTAGGGGCTGACTTACAAACGTTTGCTCTATTGGAAAGCGTCTTAAAGTTGAGTGATGGATATGCTGAAGGAGTGTTAGAATGGAAATTAACAAACCTAGTGCAGGAGTCAACTTGCTGCAGGCTTGTGCGGGGTCAAATATTGAGTTTCAGACCCCAAGGGGAGAGGGTGAAACTGAACCCTCTCATGTCCATCCTACCCCTAACATTTCTTGTCCATAGTTAGAAACGTCTCCAGCAGAGTGGTTTCCTTGAGTTGCTTTTTACACTTCTTCATGTAAAGTAAAAATGCACCCTCCAAATTTTAACTATGCAGCTTACATCGTATGTGTATCATGTTCCCAGAACTGAGTGTAGTCTGCATGTTTTTCCAATCCTTGCCCGGCCTCAGTCTCCCCTTTGACCATTACCCCTACAGAGATGAAGGAAAACTTAGCTACAAGTGGGAGATAATGAGTCAGAAGGGCTTTTTTTCATGTCATAGGAATGTGCCGTTTGGGATGGGACAGTTGGTTGGACCTTTGCTGCATTTCTAATGGGGGACTGGGGGAGGGGGGACTACAAAGGTACCTTCGGGGACTCTGTAAGCGACAAATGCCACAACTGATGGCTTGGTGCTCCGTTCCTCTGGGGAATCTGTTGGTGGGTGCTTGGGAGGCAGCGGGTTTACTTGAGAAGACAGCAAGCATATGAGTGTGCTCATGCCTTTTAAGTCCTGGCCATCCCCATGCAGTGGAACCCTGACAAGGTCAGTGATGAGAGCTGGAGCATATGAAAAAGACAGTCCAAAGGTCATCTCCCTTTTTCTCATGGGAATGGGCTGAGAATAAAAACTCCCCCGATTTTCTCTCAAATAACTATGGCAGAAAGGTTTGCTGTTGTTTGTTTGCTTGCTTTTTTGCAACAATATGCCTAATAATTTACAAAGAATATTATTGAAAAGTAGTGCTCCTGGTGGGAGGGTGTCTGAAAAAAAAAAAAACGTTCTTTAGTAAACAATGAGTATTTGAGCACTTAGAAGAGAGAAGGGAAGCAATCAGCCTGAGGTTTGTGTGGCATTTGCAAGATGGAAGCCAATGGAAATGGGTCTTGGTCAGAAGAAATGAGGTAATGGGAAAGTCATTCCTATTTCATGGGAGCAGGGCAAGGAAAACAGAAAAGGCCACCTAGGCAGAAAATGCAAGTATGGCACTCCAACTGCTCTTACCCCTGGCTTGTGTCATTAACGAGATGATTGAAATTCACATTTAATTCAAATGACGCCTTTTCATAGTCTCCTCAGCCATCACTCGTCAGAGCATGCATCCGCAGGGGAAGGCACACTTCATTCCTTCCACGCCATGCCAGCCGGGTCTGACTCCTGAAGGGAACTTGTTCAGAAGGAAAGTTGAGCCTCTCACAACCCTCTAATGGTTCCTCCCTTGTCCCTGACCATGGAAAGTGTCCTAACTGAACCCTGTATAGAAAGCAGCACCCATTGGTAGCCTACTCTCCTTGCCTGCAATGGGGTGGGTTTCATGTAAATGAGCACACACACACACACACACACACACACACACGCGCGCGCGCACACACACACACACACACACACACACACACACATGCACACACATCCCAGGGATGTCTGTCTGTTCTACCTGCCTCCCCATTTTCTCAGGGATAGAGCAGTCTCAGGATGTCTGACGTGAGTACAAAACCTTCTTACCCATCAGCACAGAGACAAGATGATAAATTCAGAGATAAGAGACATCGCCTTCCAAGTTGTCTGCCACCTTAGTGCTCTGCAGAGACATCATTTCCACCATTTGACCATAGCAGTTGTTCCCAGCTATATGTAGGGAGTAGGGAGGTATGCAAGAAAGCACCAAAACCAACAAAACTACACGGGAATCTCTCTCTCTCTCTCTCTCTCTCTCTCTCTCTCTCTCTCTCTCTCTCTCTCTCACACACACACACACACACACACACACACACACACACACACACCTCTCACACATTTACCTCACAATCCCCAGTCAATTTAAACTTGACAATATTATTAAGCAACCCTGCGCATCAAGCGGTGCCTGCCTCCAAGTCTTGCCCTGTGCTTAGAAAGCCTTTCTTTGCCTCAGTCTACAAAATTCAGTTCAAGCAGCACTGCCTCTCCACAACTTCCCAGATAGCAACTTTACCTCAATGTATAATGTGTTACACACAACATTTTGCCTTGCTATGACTGAAAACAGGGAAACTAAATATTATAAATTCTGTGTATATTTGGACGCCCTGTGATAACAGATGAGTAGGTCTAAATGTTTAAAAAAAACCACCAAACTGTGGAAATTCTGAATAGCACCAACAGCCACTTTACAGGGCTCTAGTGATGAATGCCACAGGCTCCTAATATGTTTAATGCAGCCTTCAGAAGCTCCAGGGCTCCCTCTCACTTGTGAAGGGCATCAATATTTGTACTTATGTTTCTTTAGACAATATTAGAACTCTGTTCTTTACAAGTGAAAGAGAAAAACGTCTGAGGTGCTTTGTTAGGTAAAGGAAAGAATGAAAGAAAAGCTGAGAAAATAAATAGAAGCATGCATCCATGAGAAATTCAGTATGAAATACACAAAATCCCAAGCCATGGGAAACAGAAGAGGGCTAAGTTCTGGGGCGGTGATAGGTCAGCATGCCCTGGGAGGTTGCTCCAAGCAGCGGGCTGGAGGGAGCTTTCAGGAGGTATGGGGTGGATGCCTGACTGCCTGGCGAGTGACACTAAGCTGGGCATTGTCCAAAGTAATAATAGTCATTGACTAGCTGAAGTGACAATGCCTTGGTAACACTCCTATCTTTTATCCCCCTTTCTTAAAAGCTAACCCCTGCATTTTAGAAATGAGGTGAACCCTTCAGAAAGACTCAGTATTTGTTCCACAGTCCCCCCAGGGCAGGATCTCAATAGTTTAGCTGAGTCACAAAACTTTTACATGATCAGAGCACGTGCCTGGGGGCTTAGATTCACACTTCAGGGAGGACGTTGTTTCTATAGTTACCTGTTGGTGGGGCAGACAGGAGAACTCATGATTCAAAACCTCAGTCAAACAAAGAAACAAAAAGTAACAGTCTCATCCTAAATAGGTCAGGACTGTGTCTTCTCTACATTTTTCTACTTATTTGGAGGGCATTTGCTTTAGGTGGAAGCCCCAAATACTGGGAAGGGGTGGAAAACGGTCCTCATTGGTCCTTAAGGCTTAAATAAAGCAAGCAGGCCCAAAAGACAAGAGTGAGGGTGGGTAGGAGGGTAGGAGTAGGAGACGAATCAGTGGTTTCCCCAATGTCAGGGGTACAAGCATTCCTATAACCCTCATTCTAGCCCCAGCCAGTTTACGTTCAGACGCCCCCAGCAGGACCCACTCTTACTTGAATAAATAATTTACTTTGAGATTCAATCAAATAACTGCAAATTCTTCATCTACTTTCCTTTTGGTGTCTCCAATCTCAATTGTGTATCATTTTCCTTATTTATTAGGTCTCTTCTTTCAGTAGCCTCTGGTCGCAGAAAAATATGAAAACCCAGAACCCATTTCAAATAGAGAAAGAACACAACCATTTCCCTTTGGCTCTTACTTGTCATGTACTTCAAGAAGAATACAAATATCAGAAATGTGCTTTATACCCAGCTCTGAATATCAAATGTCAGACAAGAAAGTCTGCAGAAGCGTTCCAATTCCGGAACTCTGCAATTTAAATTGACACTTACAGTGTCATTTTAAAATCTCTTAAGTAGCAAATGTGACATAAACCATGTTGAAGAGTGAGCACTAGGATCACTATAATTCAAGAAGCATTTATTGGGTGCTTGGTGTATACCGTGAATTATGCTGGACAACATTGACTGAGTGATGAATCAAAGGTTTAATGAGGGAAGAAAGGCAGCACATTTATGAATCTGAGCTCTGTCTGCTGCTTCGGTGTGCAAACAAACACTCGCTAGTTTAAACTTCTCTGTCCACTCAAAATATTGACTGGAAAGCGGGTGAAATAAAACACACTCCTAAAAATTCATATGCACTTTCAAGCGCTCATCGGGGCTTAATGATTTCATTCAAAACAGACCAAATTGCTTTGAGAAAAGAAGCAATTAGCCTCAACAGGGGATGCGCTGAGATTAATTCATAACATTTCTCCAAGGCTGCTGCTGCCTGTAGACATTAGCCTATTAGCCTACATTCAGTCTATAGCTTTACTGACGAACGTCATTGATGGTGTCATCCCTCCTTTAAATGGAACATTAAAGCAAGTCAAAACCAAAACACAAGCCAGGTGCGATAGATCATGCTGTAATTCCAGCACTTGAAGGCAGGGACAGAGAATTGCTATGAGTTTAGGAACATCCTGAGTCACATGATAAGTCTCAGGCCAACCTGAGCTACAAAATGATACCCTACCTCAGTAAATAAATAAGTAGATGTAAATCAATAACTTTAAAGAAGAAGAAAAGAAAAAAAAGGTCTCACTTTGAACAAAACCTGTGCTTCCCATAAATTTGTTTTTCTGAACAACAGACACACAAATATAAGGCAATTTTCCCCAGGTCCCATAATTCCAGTTGGTTCTGAGTCCTTGAGAGAGGCTCAAGAGACAGACTGTAAGTCTCAAACTGAGATTTAAACCTGTGTAAATCCTGCATACACACTGATTGGCTGTGTGATCTTGGGCAAGTTAACACCATGGTATCTCAGTTTCTCTTCTACAAGAGGGAATAATAGTAGAACCTTCACATAAGGTTATTGAGAGGATTAAATGAGCTAATACCCATAAATCAATCTGGAAAGACCTTAAACCAGCAGTTCTTGGTAAATGATGGATATAACATATGCATACTAATGATCTCTCCCCTTGACACCTTCTCTCACACCCTCTCCTTC